CCAACACTGGAAGTTTTTAAGAAGAGACTGGACAGCCGTTTGTCTGAAATGGTGTAGGGTTCCTGCCTGGGCAGGGGGTTGGACTTGATGACCTCCAAGGTCCCTTCCAACTTTATTATTATTATTATTATTATTATTATTATTATTATTATTATTATTATTATTATTATTATTATTATTATTATTATTATTATTATAAGTAAGGTAATGTACATAATACTGCTTCCTCCTCCTGTTTCCCCCCCAACAACAACCCTGTGGGGTGGATTGGGCTGAGAGTGAAAGTAACCCACCCGTTTTTCACGCCTAAGGTGGAACTAGAACTCACAGTCTTCTGATGATTGGCCCAAAGTCACCCAGCCGGCTTTCATGCCTAAGGTGGGACTAGAACTCACCGTCTCCTGGTGATTGGCCCAAAGTCACCCAGCCAGCTTTCATGCCTAAGGTGGGACTAGAACTCACCGTCTCCTGGTGATTGGCCCAAAGTCACCCAGCCAGCTTTTATGCCTAAGATGGGACTAGAACTCACAGTCTCCTGGTGATTGGCCCAAAGTCACCCAGCCAGTGTTCATGCCTAAGGAGGGACTAGAACTCCCTGTCTCCTGATGATTGGCCCAAAGTCACCCAGCCTGCTTTTATGCCTAAGGTGGGACTAGAACTCACAGTCTCCTGGTGATTGGCCCAAAGTCACCCAGCTGGCTTTTATGCCTGGTTTCTAGCCTGATGCCTTAACCACTGCACTGAACTGGCTCCAAATTCCATCTTTATCCCTGGAAAATTAAACAAGGGTTCCTTAAAGAAGGATCCATAGGCTAGGCCAGGGGTAGGCAACTCCCAGAATTCCTCTGCTAGCATGGCACCCTATACCAGGGGTAGGCCACCTTGGCTCTTTTATGACTCGTGGACTTCAACTCCCAGAATTCCAGAGCCAGCATGGCTCAGCTTGGAAACCTCTCCCTTTCCCCTCAGCATGGCTGGCTGAGGAATTCTGGGAGTTGAAGTCCACGAGTCATAAAAGAGCCAAGGTGGCCTACCCCTGGTCTAGACCAATATGTCCTCAATTTTAAGATGAAGAGTAAATCAACCCTTGAGGGTAGGAACAGTTGAAATCAACCACCCATGTTGGGGGTCATCCCAGGTGTATCAGCTGGGTTGGCAAATCATTATGGAACTTCCAGCCTGTCTCCTATGGGAAGGAACTAAAAGTCCTTTACTAAAGTCGACAAGGGTCAAGAGACAGAAGCTTTCATCCACAGCCTCACGATCTGTGGAGATGCCATTTTCCATCTTTGTTGAATGACAACAGAAGGAAATCTTAGGAATTTGCACTGAAAGCTTCAAATGGAAAACCCGCCCATTTCCCCTCCTTTTCTAGAAATCTTTTGTTTCTCTTTCAATTATGGATGGACAACAGCCCTCCTGGAGCTGAACAATTTTTCATCATATAAGTGAAATTGGTAGAAGGTATGCTTTGCAGACCTGTCTGCAGGTAGTCCTAGAATTATGTCCATAATGGAGCCTACTGATCTGTTTTTATCACCTTTTTTGAGAGCTGAATGCAGCACAATTTCATTTGAAGGTATGCTGATTATTGTACATTTAAAGCAGTGGTTCTCAACCTTTTTAATGCCGCGACCCCAACCGGTCGTAAGTCGAGGACTAAACCGGTCATAAGTCGAGGACTAAACCGGTCGTAAGTCGAGGACTAAACCGGTTGTAAGTCGAGGACTACCCAACCGGTCGTAAGTCAAGGACTTTCCCTGCCCAGGAGCGCCGCGCATGCATGGTTCCGCCCCCTGCGCTGGCCGAGCCGTAGCTGGCAAGCGGCAGAGACGGAGCAGGCCGACCACCAGCTGGCCCAGCCCAAGGGAGGTAAGGCACCCGCCGGAAAAGGGGGAAAAAAATGGCGGACAAAAAAAATGGCGGACAAAAAAAATGGCAGACAGCCTTGCTTGGCGACCCCCGTGAAATGGTCGATCGACCCCAAATGGGGTCCCGACCCACAGGTTGAGAACCACTGATTTAAAGTGACAGTAAAGATTCTATTCTATTCTATTCCATTCCATTCCATTCTATAATTTATCTATCCTATCCTATCCTATTCTATTCTATTCTATTCTATTCCATCCCATTCCATTCTATTCTATTCTATAATTTATCTATCCTATCCTATCCTATCCCATCCTATTCTATTTTATTCCATTCCATTCCATTCTATAATTTATCTATCCTATCCTATCCTATCCTATCCTATTCTATTCCTATTTCTCTATTTTGTATTTTCTATTCCATTCTGTTGCTCTGTTCT